TGATACTTTGAATATTACATGTTAATAACTTGATTGGAATTATAACCTTGAATTGACAGTTTGATACTTTGAAAATTTTGAGCCAGCCCTACCCCCAAGGGCTGTAGGGTGGGGCTCAAAGGAGTCAGTGTGCTAAAATTTCTTCATTTTCCTTGTTAAGAATCAGAGGTGCTAGTTTCAAATCCTTTTCAGTCTGAAATCTGTATGCTAGATATTGAGTAAGGTGGTTTTATTGTTTTTTGTCACTTTGAATAATATGTCTGTTCATGTTAAAAACAAAATCAACTCTCTGTATAAATATATCAGGTGACCGTTAAGGCCCATGGGCCTCTTGTTGTCAAATTACAGTGCTGGTCATTTATGTAATCTGTTGTTAAGTGTACTAACAGCGTCAGTGTCTATCACAGATCCCCTGTCACTGGTGGAAGGGAAGCTCCAGCTTGAGTCAAAGCACCGTGAAGAAGCACACAAAGTAAGCGACCAGATGGATCAGGAGCATGCTCACGACCTGGCCACTCTGCGTGAGGAGATTTCCACACAAACTGAAGAGGATCTCAGTAACATACAGACACAGCTTATCAACAATCTGAAAAACCAGGGTAAGTTCATATCTCCATATTAAGGTCACATTGACCTCCGAATCCTGGCAAGGTCAAAGTTACAAAGACATTCAAAACGTCATATACCTTGTAACATATCAAAAATATGCAAACCTCAGTGTATATACCATTCGTCAACAACAAGAATTGTTCGAAATCTCTCAGCTCAGACTAGATCAAGTTCCATTTCATCTAAAAAACAAGTGTAACCTTGCATGGTCAAGGTAGCCAGTAGGAAGCGACTAGTATTCTACCAGGGTGACATACTCCCCCTCCAGGAAAGAACTTGTCTTGCGTTTTCCAGAGGTTACAGCGATTCCTTAGAAAGTAACACTTAGTATTGTGTCAAATCTCCCGGGTCCCTAAGTGGGCACCAATGTAACAAAGGTCATTATCTTTTTCAATGCCACTGCTAGGAGTCGAACCCGAGACTTCTGGCTTACTAGTCTTACGCCCCACCGAATAAGCTAAAGAGACATTCTCCCTAGCTGAGTCGGTAGGAATCGGATAGTATTTTACCAGCTAGGGTGATAAAATGATGATAACCTTATGAACAACACTAGAATACTGGTTACTCAAATTACGTTATGGTCAGGACCACCGTCGAAGCATAACTTGTTTAAATTTCTTCTAAGCTCTCCTTTATGTTCATATCATTTTATTTAGAGGATGATTGTCATCACTGTTTTCAGGGTTTTCTGAGGACACCGCCCGTGTATTGATCAAGAAACACCGTGATGCGATGGCCAAGCTACAGGAGTCACAGGAGGCTAATCTCCATAATCAAATGGTCAACATACAGGTCAGTTTTCTTGGTCAGGCCACTGTTCATTTAGGTAACTAGTTACTCATAGTATCTAGTCACCTAATAGGCTTATGTTACTGGTCAGTTTGATATAGGGTAGTTCATGATCATGTAAGTAAACATGTTTACATTTAGTCACTGGTCAGTGATCAGGCACTGTTAACTTTTTAATTGGTGATTATTTTATTTCAGTGCTTTAATTTGTTATCTAAATTATTTTGCTAAGTTTCTGTATTTTGTTTTCTTCTGGGTACTGTATGACAGGAAAAATTTCGCCCAGTTACACTTCCGCCCCAGGCCAGTAAAATCCATATTATCGTAGTTTTAATTTTGCCCTTCACATTTTATCACTAAGTTTATTTTAGTGTTTGTTAATTTTCACTGTAATGATAAATTTGCCCTCATTACTGAGGGTGAAAAAAGGTGAAAATTAAACCGCAGCTTAAATTTTTCGGTATGAAGTATATTGCAGAAGCGCTTATTCATTACTTTGCTCATCTGTTAAAAATTGATGATGCATTAAAATCTGAGTCCATTAAAATTTCTTATACCTGTGTATTTTACGCACCCCCCACTTTGGGTGTTAAATTTCTGAAAAAAAAGTGTGCAAATTACATGGGTTTTTACGGTATTTGTACAGTACTGGTAAGTTAAAGTAGTGGTCTCTCAGTTTTTTTTGTCAAATTCACGTGCTGGTCACTTAGTGTACTGGTCACTCCGGGAACTTGTTACTTGTACTGGTCACACATACCGGTCACTCATTGAACTGGTCACTCATATGCATTGAACTTGTCACTTAGATAGTTTGTCAAACTAATGTGAGTTTCATGAGTTTTGTTATTTCCAAGTCCTGTTTGTCATTTTGACAGGAGAGGCTGGAGAGGAATCGGGCTGATCTGGAAATGAGGAAAGCACAAGAGAAACAAGAGCAAGCACTGCTTCGGGAACGTGAGGAAAAACTGGTCAAGTAAGTCAGATAGGAGTCACAACACTGTAAAAGTTTTTGGCATTGAGTAAATAAGTGCAGCAATATCCACATGCAAATATTTATTTCAGAACACTACCGGTGCAAAAATTTTGTCACCGTGATTGGTCTGAACAGTTACAATGCAAATATGCAAATATTTACATTCGCGAAACAGTACAGTAACTTTGTAACTGACTGACCTTTTATTTTCTTCCAAAACAACTTCCCTTACAGAACCTGTAGTAGGAGGTCCAGTATTATATAAATAGGTAAACGTATGGTATTATTGATTGAAATGTGTTCCGTGTGATTACAGTAACTTGATCACCGGACAGATGGTGATGTCAGATGACGAGAGGGACAGGATCCTACAGGAGCATGAGAAACAGATGGTCAAACTGGAGAACAAGTGAGTCAGGAGAAACAGAATATCAAACTAGAATTTGTTTATAATCCCCCAAAAAAATAAATTGGAAGCATATAATCGTTGCTTTGAAGTCTGTGTCTCTGTCTTAGTGTCTGAAACAAATGGTTTCTAGATGAAAGCATCCAGTGTAAACCAAATTTAAGAGAATGATGCCCTAAGGATATGGGAAGATGGTGTCACAAAGTAAAAGGTCAAGGTCACAGTAACTCATATAAACGAACTGAAATGTGAGAAAAAATGTTGGTTCCTGGATGTTATCTCTTGAATGGTCTATCAGATCTAAACCAATTTTTGATGGATGATAATGTGTTGTTTTCTAGCCTTACTTTGAACAAACTACGACAGAAGAGGATGTTGGAGGAAAAACTAATGGAGAAACGGGATAGACAGATGCACAAACTACAAGAAAAACAACTGCAGCAGACACAGGTATGCCTCCCACCCCAACCCGAACCCCTCCCCGCAATTTTGTAACCTCTATTATGTTTATATTGATATCTCTAAAGTAGTCTAAAGACAACAACATGATATTGCTCACGATACATTTTTTTTCTTTTTTTCCTTTCTTTTTTTTCAAAGGTATTTCTGGTACAATATGCATTAATAGATACAATTCATGATAAGTATTGGGATTATTGTTATATTTGTGAATTATAGCAAGTATAATTAACAGGACACCACGAAATATCCTTTGGCAGTCAGCTCGGCATATATATATAATATACATATATATAAATATATCATAAAGTCATACAAATATAAAATAAAAATACATATAAATATTACGGATGCATACAATTTTTGGCCAATTCAAATATTATTATTTTTATTTTTTTTCATAATTATTATAAATGCAAACAAATGATGTTATGAAGACATACTTCAAATACAGTGTACAAAGTTCAGAAACCATCCTGAAGAAAGTATAATATCCATGTGTATTACAGGCACAGAAGAGAAAACAGGAAAACAATGCGGAGGAATCTGATGACGAAAGCCGGAAGGAGAAGACCAACTTACTCAAGTTGCAGTTTGAACAGAGGATGGTAATATTACATGGAGAGAAACTCAACCTGGATGATGAAATGGAAAATGTAAGTGACTGAAAATGACAATCAAAAGAAGTCATCTTTGAGACGAGATTACCATGAATTACCTTTTTTATCCAGCAGTTATCCCATGCCTGGTAATATGTCCACTCATATCAAATACAGTTTACCAGAAATGCTAAAAAGTGATTTTTCATTGTCCTTCAATAAGCCTCCCCCACCCCCGCACTTCTATTTTCCTTTAATAAGCCCC